CAATTGTCTGCTTGAGAGCTGACTTGAAGCTATCCCTAAAGCTGCTTGATAAAGCCTAATAGTAAAACTCAGTCAAATATTACTGTGCTGGTTAAAACAGACCATGGATTTTGGGTTAACCTTTCCTGCTAAATACTTTCACAAAATCACTGAACCAAAAATATTAGGTGAAATGGACCTCCAATCCATAACCTGCTAGGACTGTACCCTTGCCGTGGAAAAAGTGAAAATTCAGGCTACTTTTCTCTGCTTTGCAACTTACTGTAATATACTTTAGAAGTAAATATGTGAAAGAGATAGTTATAGCTTTTAGATATAGAATTGCAGATGTATCAAAGGGAATGTGAAAACTTGTTGAAGAATATCAAATTATATTGCTAGAAAGACACAGATGTGTGGGAACTGATGAAAACATGACATTAAGAGTATGCTACCATTTCCATTTACTTACACTCCTCCCATTAAAAGTGCCCTGAGCATGGTATATATTTAGCTGCAGTTCCTCAAGTCACTTCAAAGCGGAGGAGAATCTGGGTGTAAACAGCCTCAATAAATGACTTCACCAAGAGAGTTTCCTGTTCCTCAGATATGCTTTTCTCACTGTATTTTGTATCATGTTACCCAAAATTCCTTTTGAAAACATACTTTCTAGATCTTAGTGCTCCCAAGACTTGCCTCAAGCATTCTGTTGCATGAAAATGTAGATTCCTAATTTGTAGTCTTGGTAAAAGTAAGTAATTACCTGGCTAACAATTTGAGGTGCATCTAACGATTGCACTGTGCAATTCAGGAGGACACAATTAATTTAATACTTGGACTTTTTCCATAGTTTGCTGTTTCCTAGGGCTACCAGTGTTAGTCTAGTCCTCAAAAGGAATTTTGTAACTTTCAAACTTCAGGCTATTCTGTGTTACACCTGACTAATGCATTTTTTTGGCAACAAAGTAATCATTTCAGGGAATGAAAAATTGGCAGAAGTTTCTTCTGGCAGCCAAAGGATATCCTTTTCCAAGGAAGAATTCCATGTGAGTCTTTCAGATTAATTATCTTAAGTTTTCCATTACTGCAACAGGTGAAGGCAGCTATAGATATACCAAGTATGTGGCTGTATTTTTGCTTTATCGATATTTGGATATCCATATGGATATATGGATATCCATATTAAATATGGATATTTAAGGTTTGTCATTTCCTCTATCCTCACCTCTATTTAAATGGACTTATTTTAAATGTGTGTTACTATTTACATAGTATGTCATACCAGAGTGATGTCTGAGAATTTCCTCTTCAGTGTAAATATTTCAGCACATTGATTACTGTATTTAATTTTTATTCATGCCTTACATAGAGCTGTAATCGAATTGGTTTGAAATGTTTCTTGTAAAATCATTGTATAAACTGTATTTCTTAAGTAGAAGCATGTATGAAAATAAACAGATTTATTATATATGTGTTTATGATAGTATAGCAAATCCTTCACTGTTTTTAACATGATTATGACACTTACCAGGGAAATTTGGATTATATATCAAGTAATAAAGTTTCTGTAGACACCTAATAAACCAACTTGCAAACTAACACAATCTGATTCGCACCCCAAAATTTAAAAACTCTTTCAGGAATATATTAAATGAGGTTTATGGGTATTTAATTTTTTGTGTTTGTATCTTTTATATAAAGATCTTTTCTGAACTAGGTAGCTCCTGGTGAAAGTAACACAAAATTTGTTAAATCTTGATAGATATTGGTCCAAAAAATTAAAATATTGCATGATCCCAAGTTGCTAATTGTGCCCTTTCTCCTCTTACACCTCCTGCTCCTGATGCAGTAACTTCAGAGCTATCACCTTTCATAGGGAATTCAAGCAATGTCATAAAATGCTATATGATACCTTGTTTTCCTTCAGCACACTTGTCATTCACTTTGACAAAACTGTGAGTGCACATTTATTTGAAATACAACAATCCAAATTAGTGGGGCCCAAGCTATGGCTTGCAGACCTACCTTGGTCTACCCAAATAATTTCTCTGGTCATGGATTGCTCCTTGCTAATACCATCCCCCACATCTTTGCAACTCATACTCTGTTTAACAGCAAAAATGTGTATTCCCAGCATGAGTTTACACATCCCTTCCTTCAAGTGGATGTAAAGGAATCTATAGCAAGGAAGACTGCAGGCCAGATGGAGGCACTTTCAGTGAGCCTGCTATGGCCTAAGAATCGTTACTCCTGACATAGATTAGTCAATACTGCACTTCCATCAAAGGATCTTCACAGTAATGCTGGCAGAACTAACAGATATCTAGAAGTACATTGGCGTTATGGTTCTTAATATCATTTTTGCAAAAACACTCCTGCTTCTCCCTCCCAAAGAGAAATTCAGAAACAACTATGGCAAGTTTTCAGGAGCTTGAGAATTATTTTAGGTCCTGTTTTGTGGCTTAATGTATCCTGCTCATCTTCAGGGTCCCTATTCAGTGTGGACCAGTTGCATGGACCTAAATGAGTCATGCCTTTCATGTCAGTAAGATGACTCACATGCTTAGATGGGTGTGTTTGCATGATAATAGTCCTTCAAATAAAAAAATGAGAGAGAAGAATCATAGCTTTAAAACACAAAATAGCATTTCTCAGTAGCTTGTGCCAGGACAAGGAAACATCCTCAGCCTACATAGCAGGCCTTGAAAAACTACCTGTCTGGCAAAAATTCTTCAATACCCACTACCATTTACATAATTGTGAGAGCATCTTTCTACAGAAACACCTTTTCTTGAAGCAGAACAGTACTCCAGCTGTGCCTCTCAGGTTTTACATGTATTCATCGAGAAAGACAAAACTTAAATATAAAGATAGATAAGAAATCAGCTAGGTGATAGATGAGATAATGAAAATCTAAGTGATTAGATACGTCTAAGGAAGTAGAGGAACAGTATTAGTTGATAAAATGCAATAATTTAAGCCCATATGAAATAACTTGTAATTTTTATTCCTATTACTTCAAATAATTTCCAAAAGTAACCAAAGTAACAGTTGTGCTTTTTAAAAGAACAGGTTAGGCAGCATTTACTGCAAATTATTCACTAAATCAACTAATCTACCTGGGGAGAGAGGAAAAACAAACAAAAATCACCATCTTTTTTGGAGAACAAAGTGTTTGTCCAGGAGCTGTGTGCTCAAGAGCTTGCCTAGTTTTTTAAGTGTAGTGATTAGAAAGATAACTGCTTGTCCCTACAGATCTTGCCCTGCTTATATCCTTGCAACTGCATCATCCATGGTACAGGAATATCCTATGATTTACTGACTAGTAAGTCTGAAAGGCAGACGGTTTTGTCCGGCATTTTGTCTAGCAATGAGCCAATTTGGCACATTTTCAAGGGTGTGTGAGGCTGGTTTTTTTCTCTTCAGATGGTCAGAAGGCTGGGGAAGGCTCGCAGGAGCCAGCTGACACTGCCTCTCATCTCTGTAGCTGGAGCCGCTGTGCATGAGGGAGCAGCTACCTGCTCCACCCAAGTCTTGCTGAATTCCTGCGGCCTCACTTGGATGTTTATACAAAGATGCTCCATGACCATGGGCTGTGTCACTCAAAATCTGATTGTTTGCTGTCTTTCCTTCCTGGGCTATTGCTCCAGGGGACAGAAGAATGCCAGGATTAGCTATTTTAGGGAGCCCAGGTGATGGATAAGGTCAAAGAGTTTCAGCCTGTAGGGACTGAAAAAACATATCCACTAACTAGTTAATTTTTTTTTTTATAGGTTAGAGTGTAATAGCAAAACTGTCACTTAGATGGACCATTACGTTCTTCATACTCTCTTGTCGTCACTTTTCAAATACATTTTCTGTCATCATAAATACAGAACCCTGTAGCTTTTAGAGTGAGAGCCGGAAATTCATTCCAGCTCAGAGTACAAGGTTCTGCACTTTAAATACAGCAGCAGAGGGGCAGTGTAAAGCATGTAACTCTGTTAGACATTTCCACCCAGACTGTTTCCTGTTTCATAAAAGTAACTGCATTGAACAAAAATATACACAAGCTGAATCCACATCAAAGACATATGTGTTCTTAGTATAGAACCAGAAATTAATATTTATTATTATTATTAATATTAGAAGAACTTCATGTTCTTCTACTGAAGTTCCAGCTGCTCTGTTTGCTGAAATATAGAAGCATGCCCATGATCCTCTAGAAGCTCTAGTGCAGGGTTTTCTGACATTATTATTATAATTCTGGATGCCTGTGTTTGCATCATAAGCAAAGACTGCATACAAAATCAAATGCTCACATTCAGATACAGGTAACAGCAAGAAAGTAGGTTATGCCAGAGACATTTATCTGCAATTTTCCTGCTGTACAGAGCCCCCCAGGATTATTTTATTCTGCTATTGGCTCTCAAAAATATCTGTCATTTTCTTAGGCTGATTTGTTAGATTGCCCAGATTATATTGTTTCTACCATTGTATTTTGCAAGTGCATAACTGCAGTTTTTAAACTACAAGTTTTTAAGATACGTTCTTCATTTTGAGACGTTTGTTTCTAATCGCCCTTTAACCTTTACAACCTACACGTATTCTCGTTTTACATACGCTTGCAAATTTCCCAGCAGGCGAATATAACTCCACTGGAGCACGTTGTGTGTGCAAGCGTTTTAAAGAAAACAAACCCTTTCTGCACCTTGCAATTAGTAACGCCAGAGCAAAAATGACTACGAAGCTATCGAGCCTCAGCGAGGCTCCCAAGAAAACACCCCTCTAAATGGAGGTCTCACTGTATATCCAGGCTGTTTCTTTCTTTTCTAGCAATGACTCAAAATTCAACCTCAAACCGTCCCAAAGTGGGTCCGAGCGTGCGGGGATGTGAGCCACGCTGAGCTGGCGGGGAGGAGCCCGGGCATCGCCTGTCGCCCCTCGGCTCAAACCCCGGCCACGGGCCGGGAGAGGCGCGTCTCGCTGCTGGACACGGAAAGCCGGGCTGTTTGCGGTACAAAGAGAGGGAGAGCGCCGACATGTCAAGGGAGCTCAATTGTAACCGTAGAGTCAGCGGTGCTTGAACCCCGCGCTCCCCTGACGGAAAACAAGCCGCTTTCCAGCACGGCTCCTCCAAACCCTGCGGGTTACGGCTCTGCCGGGAATGCGGGCTGCCGGCACCGCTGGGGGTGCGGGCACGGGCAGCTCGGATGGGAGCAGGGCAGCTCGGAGGGGAGCAGCGCCGCT